AGAAGGAACATTCTTGGCCTTTTACATTTTCAGGTAAAATTTACAATCAGCTTGTAAATTTCCTTTAAAATTTTTTCTGGGATTATAACTTGAGGTATTTGAACCTAAATCACCTTGGGGAGAACTGACATCTTTATAATACTGTCTTCAATCCAAAAACATGGTATATTCCTATGTTTATTTAGGTCTTCTTTTGTTGCTCTCAGCAATGCTGCGTAGTTTTTAGTATCAAGATCTTGCACATTTTTTTGGTAAAGTTTACTCCTCATTGTATTATTTTTATGCTAATGTAATTTATATCATTAAAATTTTTAATTTTCTATTTATTTTTGCTAATATATAGAAATACAATTAGTGTTTTTTGTTTTCGGTACGCGGGCCTCTCACTGTTGTGGCCTCTCCCGTTGCGGAGCACAGTCTCCGGACGCGCAGGCTCAGCGGCCATGGCTCACGGGCCCAGCCGCTCCACGGCACATGGGATCTTTCCAGACCGGGGCACGAACCCGTGTCCCCTGTATCGGCAGGCGGACTCTCAACCACTGCGCCACCAGGGAAGCCCCTCCAATTTTTATACCTAGTATTTCTCTTTCCTGTCATACTGCACTGGTTAAGCCTTCCTGTACAATGTCAAATATAAATGGTAACAACTGACATCTTTTTCTCAGGGGAAATATTTATATTTCATCATTAAGTGTGATGTTTGAGGAAGGCTTTTTAAAACCAAATTAAGTTCCCATCTATTCCTAGTTTGCTAAAAAAAATTTTTATCATAAATGAGTGTTGTATAAAGTGCTTTTTTAATGTGTTTATTAAGATACACATTTTTTTCCATACACATTTATGCTGTTAGTGTGGAGAATTACATTATTTTCTAATGCTAAATTAACCTTGCATTTTTGGCAAAAAAAATCCCTTTTAATTATGGTGTATTATCTTTTGCTGTATTGCTGTATTTGGTTTTCTAATATTTTATTTTGAATTTTTGCCTTATGTTTACTCAGGTTATTGTCCTATTTCTTCTCTTGTAAGGTTTCTGCCAGGTTTTGAATTAAAGGTTATAAAGGTCTCATTTAACAAATTGTAAAGTGTTCTTATTTTTTCTATTCTGGGGAAGAGTTTGTGTAAGATTAGTGTTATTTCATCCTTAAATATTTGAAACAATTTGCCAGTGAAGTCATCTGGACTTGGAATTTTTTGTTTTGGGGTGTGTTTATTTTATTTCAGTGGAAGTAAAGGGTGTGTTTTGAAATCCTGTCTGTCCCAGAGACCATGACACTTGCTGGTCCTTCATGTCTCCACATGGCTGCTCCTTCAGCGATTCAGTTCTTTGCTCAAATACCACCTCCTCAGAGATGTCCTCCATGACTGCCCCAGCTAAAGTAGCATCCACTCCTTTCAGCTACAATTTCCATTTTTTTGTAGACTTGTGTTCCCTAAAATTAACCTTTCCAAAAAATTGTTTATTTACTCTCTTTCTCTCCTGTTAGATTTTGAGCTCTGTGGGGCAGGAACCTTGTCAATCTCGTTCCCCTCTGAATCTTTAGCACTCAGAACATAGCAGTTGCCCAACAAATATTTTTCAAGTGACTAAATGAATAAAAGGAAGCCAGATAGAGAGCCTTTCCCCACAAAATTGCCAGAAGACAAGAGCAATGATGAGGATGTTCATCATCAAGTCTTACATTTTTAACAATAAATATCACCTAGGGTCTCCATCAGACTTAATACAGAAACAAAAATCTGCTATATAATTCTGTAGTCTCGCCAAATTATGATGTCATTTTGAAACAAAATGTAATGAACATAAAAATAAGACTTCTTGGGCTTCCCTGGTGGCGCGGTGGTTGAGAGTCCGCCTGACGATGCAGGGGACACGGGTTCGTGCTCCGGTCTGGGAAGATCCCACATGCTGCAGAGCGGCTGGACCCGTGAGCCATAGCTGCTGAGCCTGCACATCCGGAGCCTGTGCTCTGCAACGGGAGAGGCCACAACAGTGAGAGGCCCGCGTACAGCAAAAAAAAAAGACTTCTTCAGTTTCTTTCTTTGAAAATGGAGCTGTTTAATATTTTTTTTGTTTAATGTTATTTTTTAAATGTATAGAACAAAATGTAACATGATGGTGAAAACATTCTTCGTAACATTGTTGAAAGCACCTCCTTACATAGCATGTGAGGGACAACCACATTTAGTTGGGAAAAGCTTACTGAATTCTGGCCTGCTGACTTTGTAACAAGCATGTTAGATGAGCTGCTGCAAGGGTTCAAGTAATCTTGCATCCTTCAGGATTATTTTGATTATAAGTGACAGAAAACCCAACTGAAAGTGAATTTTTTTTTCTCATGCAACAGAACATTCCAGGGGTAGGGTTAGCTTTAGTTTGATCTAGAAGCTCACATAATGTCATTGGATTCTGCCTCTCTCTCCATCACTACATTGTTCTCTTTTGTAATGGCTTCATTCCTAGGTAGGTTCTTCCCTCATGGCTAATAACTAAAGTTCTAAAATCTTAATTTCAGGGAGTGAGGACTTCTATGAAAACTCCTTCACAATTCCAATTCCAGTGGTAAAGAGAGCAACTGTGTGAGAAGAACATCTTGAGAATGAATTTTCTTGACTCTGTTGAGTCATAGGCCCATCCCTGAACCAGCCACTCTAGCCAGGGTAGAGCTCATACTATACTAGTAGTCTTCTGCTACTTGTTTTTCACACTTAAAATTATGTTTCCAAGATCCACCTGTGTTGTGTTTGTAGCTATAGCACACTCATTTTCACTGCTGAATAATATTCCGTTGTTATAATACCCACAATTTATTTATTTAGTTAGTTAATGGACATTTTTTTTTCCTGTTATGAACTGTGCTGCTGTGAAGATTCTTGCAAATATCTCCTGGTGCACATGTGTAAGAGTTTTTCCTGGGCATGTATCAAGGAGTGGAATTGCTGGGGTTTACAATATGGAAGTATTCAGCTCCAAAAGGTAAAGGTCCTGATTTTCCGTTTGGCAATGTTTCATGAGTATTTGCCTATGGTATTAAAAATTCTTCTTTACATAATAGAAAAAAGCAAGGTAAAAGGGTAAAACATTATTCAGATGCAAGATGCTGTTATATTTGTGGATATTGTCTGACCACAGCAGGATCTGGTTATATTTAATAGCTTTAAGACAAAGGCCACACCCATATATATTGTCAATCAGCATCAATCATTTATACAGAACCCACAATATGCTGGTGTGAGCTGTTAAAGACAAACGAAGCTGGACACTAGTTAAAGTGGTAAGGACATATTTTAATCAGCAATATTCTATTGCAGTAAGGAACAGAGTCCAGCATGAATGGAACTCAACTTTGATTTGTACAGAGGTGACTGGGCGTTTCAAAGGGAGAATCAGAGAATAGGGAGGGGGTTGAGCTCTGCTGAGTTAGGGAAAAATTACCAAAAGTGGGAAGGAGGTGTCAGTCCATGTGAAACTCATCTGGATTTGCTAACTGGTGCTCACTGAAGTTAGGCTGCTGCCCTCACACAGAGGCTGGGAGACAGGGACCCTATCTTCAGGTGTTGGCTGGAAAAAATGGTAAATTCTTTTGGCAGCCTTGAGTTTTCTCTGGCAGGTACTTTAAGAGGGGCTAGGGTCACCTAAGGATGTGGCCCTGAGCTGTTAGAAACTATGTTGGTTGTTTTGCTCAAGTTGTTACAGGCTGAGGTTGAGGCCCTAGAAGAGAACAGGGCTCAGAGGAGCCTGGCTAGAGTTCTGTCAAGGAGAGAATCTGTCAGAAGTGAGAGGAAAGGTGTGGTGAGGGTGGGAATAGCACTATTTCTCTCCTCTCTACCTTTGCTTACACCATTCCCTAGGCCAGGAAAAACCTCCTCTCTCTCTGCCATTCTAAGCCCTATTCATCCTTATGGCTCAGTTAAGGTGTCACTTCCCCTGAGAAGGCCTGCTTGACTTTCAACCCACCAGACCGGGTTAAACACCCTTAGCATCCTTATATAGCTTTGTCATGCACTTAGCACATTACATTGAAATACACTCTGCTTCCTCACCAGATCGTAAGGACTGGGTCTCATTCATTTTGGGCATATTGTGAGCACTAATGTATGTTGCATGAGTGGGCACTGTGACAATCAAAGGTCCACTCTCCTTATGTCTTGGACACAGAAATAGCCTCCCAGCTCCTCTCTGCTTCCCTCTTCTCTACCCAGAGGGCTAGAGAGATCGTCTATAAAGGTAAGTCAGCTCATGCCACAGTTTGGCTTCAGATCCTCCGGTGGCTTCCATTTGCATGAGGAATAACTTCAACTTTCTTGCTGTGGCCTGAAGGACCTGAAAGTCTGGCCCCAGCCAACTGTGAGTCTTATCACACCTGAGCTGGATCATCCTCTAGCAGTCATACTCCCCTTCTTTCTATTCTTCAAACACCAGGCTTGTTTCCCGGTGGAGCCTTCAGATTTGTTCCTTCTACTTAGAATGTTCTGCAGCCAAGACTCTGCAAGGCTGACCCTTTCTCATCATTCATGTTTCAGCTCAGCCAGCACCTCCTCAGAGAGGCCCTCCCTGACCACATTCTCTCTCCCATCACACTGCTTTTTTCGTCATTGCCCTCCTTACAAACTGGAGGTGATTTATTATATTTTGTTTCCCCCACCAGCTTGAGAACTCCATTAGGGCAGGGATCTTGTCTGCCGTGGCTGCCACTATGCCTCCAGTACCTAGAATAGTGCCTGGCACTCGGATGGTGTTCAATGAAGGGTAAGAAATCCGCGCAGGCAATTGTGGGATCGCTTTCTCCGGCAGGAGCCGACTCTAACCAAGTGGGAGGGGTGAGGGCGGTGGCTGGGTGCGTGTGGGGAGGGACAGCTCAGTCGAAGGCCCCGCCCAATCCCCGCCCAAACCCCGCCCATGTCCGTGTCCTCTTCCTCGGGTCTCCATAAAGTTCATTTGGCGGCGCGCCGCGCGGGGTCTTCTGGGAAGGCCTGTCTCGGCCAATCAGGAAGCGCGGGCGAGCGGCGCGAGACGCGGCTGCTGCGTTTTCTAACCCGGACTTGAGCGGCTGACGCGGCTGCAACGCCAGGTAAGGGTGTTTGTGGCCCCGTCCTTTCGACACGGGGCAGGTCCTTGAACCTAAGGTCCAGAGGCTGGGCGGAGCCCGGTCCCCGTGCTCGGAGCCGTGCTGCTCACACTTCTCGTTCGCCTCATGGCAGCCGGCACGCCTGACGCCTGCGACACAGCGCCCTGTCGAACCGCCCCCCGTTATAGCGTCGGGCTGCGCTCCGGGAGTGCTTTCTATCTGCCCTCTTTCTGAATGCGGAGCCTCGGCCCCCTGGCGACCCTCCTGTCCCACTACAGCGCTCTGCCGGCGCGCCACGCCCACCCCTGCCCTGCGAGTCCACCCTTGGCTGTATCGGTGCCCCTCCCCGCCACCACACTCCGCCTGGTATCTTCCTGACCGCGCCCTGTCAGCTCCCTCGCTCGCTCCTCGGGGATACTCTATCGGGAGGCGTTTCCCTCCCGGGAAAGGGACTACCCTGTGAGCCTTGGCCTATCTCCTCTGTCTGCATCCAGCGGAATGCGCCATCCCGTGCAGGGAGATGCTAGTGATTAGAACCTGGAGGTGGCCCGCACTTTCTCTGGGCCCACAGCACCCCATCCTCTGCAAAGGCAATGCCTGCATTTATTGGGTCTCTTTTTTTAAAATTACGGGGCCGACCGCAGGGGTCTTTGTTCCAAGTTTGGACGACCCATTGACAGAGCTGCTGGTCCAGATTTGCCCCTCTGTCGGGTGTGAGAAGAGGTTATGATTTGTTTAGACCAAAATGTTTTCCAGCAAGGGTCACCTTTCTGTTCTGTTTGGCGGCTGTGAGAGGGTGCCCTTGGGCATCGCATCCTTTCTTCTTTCTTTCAGTTATTCTTCTTTGTGAATTTGTGTTTGGGACATTTTCATTTTTTATTCGTGTTGATCTCACTCGAGGCTCATCGTTCTTAATACCTGTTTATTAGGTTAACAGATCCCACATGAATATCTCCAGCCTGGGCCTCTTCCTTGACCTATATCCAGCTGCCTACTTTAATATCTCCACTGTGATGATTTGTAGGGAACTCAACCTGAACATTTCAAGATAGGGCTAGCAAGGTTCCCTCCACTTCTCTTCCCAGACTGCTTTTCTTGCTGTTTTTTTTTTCTCAGTAATGTAAAAGGCTCTGACCGATAACCTTTGAGTCATCCTTAACTGCTCTCTTTCTTTCTTACTTCACATCCAATGCTTGGCATCCTGGGCCAGGTCACCATCACCTCTCCTGGATTATTGAAATAGTCTCCCACCTGGTCTCCTGGCTTCTGCCCTGGCCCCTATTTTCAGCACAGCAGATAGAAGGACCCTCCGGTGGGTCCCCATCTCATTTAAAGATGAACTCCTTACAGTGAGTTATATGGCTTTACATAATCTGACCCACTGTTATTTTCCCACTTTCGTTTTCTGCTACCCTCTCCTTCCACATGGCAGACATGCTTCGACCTCAGGACCTTTGTGCTTGCAATTCAATATTCATATGGTTCGCTCTCACTTCTTTCAGGTTTTTATTCAAGGGTCACCTAGTGAGACATTCCCCACTTCCTATCTTCCTTTATTGCTTTAGTTGTTCTTATATTTTACTCATTTATATGTGTATTGTTTGTTTTCCCCCTCTAGAACGTTATCTGTTTTGTTCCCTGATGTATCCCCAGCACCTAGACCTGGCACACAGTAGGTGCTCAACAAATAGAAAGTAAATCCATGTTCCTGACACTGTTAGAGGCTTGGGGATCCAGTGGTGACTGAGATAGGCCTGCGCTCACTGAGCTGCTGTTTCTGTGGAGCACATCATCAGCAATAAGCCCGCAGGGGTAGCATGTAGTGGCAGGGCCTTTTTAAAAAGAGGGCAGGGGTGTCTGAACAGAGACCTGTTTGAAATCAGAGAGGGGAGTATCTCGGGCAAGAGCATTCCTGGAATGGGAACAGCAAGTGCAAATACCCTGAGGTGGGAACATTAGAGATGTGGTGAACTTGAGTGTCTAAACCTGCTTCCTGATGGGCTGAGGTAGAAAATAAGGTAGAGAGAAAGATAGATACGCCTAGGAGAAGGAGGGGTCAGAGCAAAGACCTGGAGATGAGGACCTGAGGTATGTTCAGGGAACAGGTCACTTTAATTCAGCAGACATTTTATTCGGTAACTTTTTTAAGTTTGTACCAAACTTAGCAGCTGAGGATTCAAAGCTGAGCAGTCTGTGGACCTCACCCTACAGGAATTCTCCATGTAGAGAGAGAAACAGACTTGGGAATAAAATCATCACAACTCTTCACCTGGCCAGGGAAGAACAGTAATAGATGGTTGAGAATAGTGTGGGAGGGGTTTGAGGTAGGTAGGACTGTCCCAGCTGACTTTGCAAGGTACACAGGAGTTCCCATGTGCCAGGGTATGTTTGTGTTCTAGCAGAGTGTACACCTGTATGTGCCAGTGTGTGAAGGGAGGAAACAGCATGAGGCATCCCAAGGAGTAGAGAATTGCTAGGGTATCTTTGCGGGGAGGCAGTATGAGATGAGGATGGTAAGGGTGGCAGTGCCCGTTCTTTGGAGGGTGCCCCTATTGGCCATGTCAACGCATGAGCACTTCCTTCTATAGGAGATGGAAGGTGTTCCTGAGGGTATAAAGCCAGGGGAACGTTTCAGAAAGACCTCTCTAGCCAAGGGGAGTGTAGGTTAGAGGAACAAGAAGGCTTAGACTGTTGAGGTAATCAGGAGAAGAGCGTGAGGTTAGAGTGGGGGCAAAAGAGATGAGGGTTTGACTTTCCGAAAGGTTTGGGAGATGGACCTGGAGACTGGATGTTTGGAGAGGAAAGGGAGCCTGAGGTGGTTTCTGGCTGAATTGACTGGTGCTAATTGTTTTATCAAGAGAGACTGGAAATGCAGGAGGAGGAAGTGGTGCTGGTGGTGGTGGCAGTGGCAGCTAAGAGGGGAGAGAAGTGAAGCGTTTGGGATAATATGTAGTTTGAGGCATCCACTGGTCAGCCAGCTGTAGATGTCAGGTGAACAGTTGGAAATATTGACCCTGGGAGAGAGCTGGGCTGGACATAGAGATACGGAAGTCACCTTTGTTTTGATAGGTCAGTGTCCTTGCCTGGACCCAGATAGGCCTCCGAGGTCCATGGAAAGGCAGCCTTGAGCCTCCTGGCACTGCCTGCTTAGGAGTGTGTGTGTGGTTCTCTTGGATGCACATGTGTATGTGAACGGATTCAGAGAGGTCTGTAGCCATCTGGGAGATGGATGGCTGTGGCAGGAATTGTAGTTGAAGTTCAAGTGGATGTTATCCAGAGAAATATATAGTGTGAGAAGAGGAGGTCCAAGGATAGAAGCTTGGCATTTGAGGGGTGGGTAGGTGAAGGAGGCATAGCAGAGGAGGCTGAGAGAGGGAGGAGGAGGAGGAGAACCAGGAGAAGGTGGAGTCTCCACGTCTTGGGAAGAGAGAGTTTCAGGAAGGAAGGAGTGGTTAGGATGTCATAGGCTGTGAGAAAGGAAGGATTGAAGAGTCCGTTGGATTTGGCAGTTGGGTCAGTGGGGACTGCCGGGGAGTTCAGGAAATGGGAGGCAGGCAAGCAAAAGTTAGATGGCAGTGGTGATGAATGAATGACGCGTGACAGGGGATGGCCGTCTCTTTATGAAGGGAGTGGGAGCCAGAGGAGGACACGGGGTCGAGGAAGTTTTTAAAAATAAACTTCTTATTTTAGATTTGTTTTAGATTTATAGAACACATGCAGGATAGTACGGAGTTCTCTGCACCCCTCACCCAGTTTCCCCTACTGATGAGGAATTATTTTAGGGAAGGAGAGACCTAAATCCTAGAAGGAACCAATGACAGTGGAAAAAAAGGACAACCATCACTTCCTGAGCTCTGGCTGTGGGCAGGTCTCTGCCATGGGCTTTACTTCTATAATCTAATGCCATCCTCACGGCAACCCTGTGATGTCAGGCTTACTCCCTTCCCTGTCTCCCTCGTTTCAGTAAATGGCACCTTCATGGTCTGAGTTACTCAGGCTTAAAACCTTGGCATTGTCCTTGACTTCTTTTCTCCTCTCACATTCTACATCAGCAATTCATGTCTACACCAAATCTACTCTTAAAATATAGTATCCATGAACCAGACCCACTTTTTGTCTCTTCCACCACTATCACCCTGGTCCACGCGGGTGTCAGGTATCACATCTGGGTGATGGAGTAGCCTCCTGACTGGTCTCCCTGTTCTTACTTTGTCCCCTCAAGCCCCCTGTCTGTTCTCCACACAGCAGTGGGAATGAGCCTTAGAGAAGGCTCAACCCTTCACTGGCTCCTGTCATAAGTAGGCTGAAATCCAGAGTCCTTGGTGCTGGGAAGCCGACATGATCTGACCCTGTCCCAACCCCTTCTCCCACCACCCTTCCCCATGATTATGTGCTTCAGCCACGTGGCCTCCTGCTCTTCAACTATGCAAACTACACTTCTGCCTTGTTTCCTTGGCAAGAACATTCTTCCCCCAAATATCTACATAGCTCACCCACTTACTTCAATCAGGTCTCTGCTCAAAGGTTTCCTTTTAAAAGAAGCTTCTCAGAACACCCCAGCTAAAGCAGTCCTACCATCCACTCTGCTGCATTTCCCTGTTTTACCTCCCTCATAGCATTTATCAATACTTGGCATCATGTGTCTATATGTTTATGCATTTTTATTGTCTGTCTCCTAATAGACATAAGCTCCCTGAGGCTGGGGAACTTTGTCTGGTTATTCCGTAGCTCCATCCCCATTGCTTTGAACAAACAGTACCTAGCGTATGGTAGATGCTCAATAAGTATTTGTTAAATGAATGAAGGAAAGCTGCCATATAAATCACCATGACCTGAGTGGCTTAAACAACAGAAGTTTGTTTTTCTACAGTTCTGGAGGCTGGAAGTCCAAGACCAGGATGCCACATGGTTGGGTTGGTGAGGACCCTCTCTTTCTGGCTTGTTAGTAGCCACCATCTCGAGTGTGCTCACATGTACATGGGGCTCTAACTTTGGTGAACTTT